ATTAAAGATTATGAACTTTATTTAAATTCATTATGAACAATGTTTTTTATTATTATCCTTAAACACTATCCTCTTGTATATAACAATTATATACTATGTTTAAGGTTACATAAATAATCACGGAATTTTCATTTGATATTCATAAAATATTCATAAATATATGTACATAAAATGATGAATAAACTATTTTATTAATTAAATAATAAATATCCTATTACATCTCATGCTTCTAGGACATTATTCCCAACAGAAATGTCATCCTTAAAGGGGAACAATACGTGGGTGCTGGTTGACAAGTCAAAGAAGCAAAAACCAGTCTCATGCAAACGGACCTTTAAGATCAAGGAAGGAGCTACAGGAAAGTAAGCAAAAAGGTTCAAGGCAAGATTAGTTGCCAAAAGATTCACACAAGTTGAGGGGATTGATTATGCTGAAGTTTTTTCTGCAATGGTCAAGTATAAAATCATAAGAACCATTCTATCTCTAGTTGCTCAGAAAAATTGGAAATTAAAGCAGATGGATGTAAAAACTGCATTCTTGCATGGAGACCTGAATGAGGCCATTTATATGCTCCAACCCCCTGGTTTTGAGGTTAATGAAAAGAAAGATAATGTGTGCCTCCTAAGTAAGTCTTTGTGTGGATTGAAACAATCCCCAAGGCATGGTATAGAAGATTTGATGGCCATGTGACAAAGGCTGGTTTTGAAAGGAGTAGTTATGATTCATGTCTATACCACAAGAATGCAGGTTCCAGAAATTCAGTATTTCTTCTACTCTATGTGGATGATATGCTGATTACAGAAGAAGACTTGAATGACATAAACGAAGTCAAGAAGATGTTGAGTGTAGAGTTTGATATGAAAGACTTGGGACATGCTAAGAAGATTTTAGGCATTGACATCAAAAGAGATAGAAAGGAATGTTATGATTGTCTTAAGAAAAGTACCTGAGAAAGGTTGTAAAGAAATTTTCCATGGATCAAGCAAAGAAGGTCATTGTCCCACTTGCAGGCCACTTTAAGCTATCTGCAGAACAGTCACCATCAGCTGAGAAAGAGAAGTTATAAATGGAAAAAGTACCATACTCAAGTGCTGTAGGCTCACTAATGTATGCAATAATTTGCACTACGCCTAATCTTGCCTATGCAGTGAGCATACTTAGTAAGTATATGGCTAATCCAGGTCAAGAGCATTGGTCTTCCATGAAGTGGATGCTCAGATATGTGAATAGTACTTTGAGTTATGGACTGATCTACAAGCAAAGGTCATCTCACCTCAGCTTAGAAGGGTATGTAGACTCAAACTACACTGGTGACAGAGATAAAAGAAGATCTACTTCAGTCTTCATGATGCCGCTAGGAGGAAATTGCATAAATTGGAAGGCTCAGTTACAGCCAGTGGTTGCCCTCTCAAGTGCTGAGGCAAAATACATGGCTGTAACTGAAGGGTTTAAGGAAGCTATGTGGCTACATAGACTTCTAAGAGAACTGAAAATGTTGAAAGAAAATGCCATCATCTACTCAGATAGTCAATCTGCAATTCACTTGAGTAAGAATCCAGTCTACCATGAAAAGTCTAAACAAATTGAGGTTAGACACCATTTCATCCGGGAGAAAATTGAAGAAGGGATAGTAGGACTGGAAAAAATGGATACAGAAAAAAACCCCTCTGATATGGCGACAAAGGTGATGCCAGCTAGCAAACTCCAGAAATGTCTGGAGTTGCTTAGCGTTGGAAAAACGTAGATCAGAAGGGTGGAGTAATGATTCCACAAGGAAGCTTCAAGTTTACTTCAGAGATTAAGGTGGAGTTTGTGAGGAATAATCTCTGAACTAAACTCATGATTAATAACAAGAAGAAGAAAAGAACATAAATGACATTTTGTTTATGTCTGGTGAAGAGTAATACTGTAAGTCATTTATTCTGGAAGCAGTGAATCAAAACACAGCGTTTTGTTAATGCTGAGTTAGAGCAAGCAGCTGAGCAACACGTGGCTATAGAGTCGGTGTTGTGTTATCATCTTCTAAACGAGTGTATATATATATATATGTAATATACAGGTTGTTCTAGTGCTCGAGAGTTTTGGGGATCTTAGTTTTACCCTAATTTCAGATAGAGAAATCTAGAGAGAGAGACAGTACAATTCGGTGAGAGAAAATCAGTAAATAGAGTTTTACTCTGAGTTTGTCTTGTAAAACACTGTGAGATTTTCTTGGGTATTTGGGATTTCTCTGTTCAAGAGTGTAATCGTGAGATTTGAAATGTACTCTTTTTCTTGATAGTGGAACAACTCTTATGGAGGAGCTCAACAGGACGTAGGTCAAACATTTTGGCCGAACCTGTATAAATCCTGGTGTTGTGTGTTCTTGTTTACTGTTTTGTTCTTTGTTGATTTTTTGCGCTTTGGTGTTAGATTCGTTCTAACATTGTGAGTATTTGTTGTGGATCGGCTCAGCATCGTAAACATATGTTTGGATAGGCATCATTGAAGTTGCCACAACAACAATCAAAGTTATTTTTTTGTCGCTTACCCGTAATGTTTAGTTCATGGTGTTTTTTGTTTGTTTTTTTTTTTTTTTTTTTTTTTTTTTTTTTTGTTTTTTTTTTTTTATGTTATTGATTAACTTTTATCTCTTATAAATTATATTTGATTTATTCATTTTTTTAGTATACTAGTGAGGTTTATCAATGATTAACTTTGATAAATCAGATTTAATTAATTCAAGTTTATCAGTAATTAATGTAAGTTAATCAATAACTAACCTCAATTAATTGGTGATTAATTATATCTGGTTTAGGGTTAAATTTGTCTTTTTATTCTTTGAAAGTAGTATGTTTCAAACTTTCTCATAAAAGTAGTATAATTAGATAGTAGTATTGCAAAAGAGGTATTATCAAATTCACCTAATATATACCGGAGTTTGATTAAGATTTAAAATCTTCATTACAACATGTTTGTAAGTGTTGTGTGGGAAAATGTGACGGACACATAGATGAACGATAATGCGACACATGGCCTTGACTACTCCCCACCAAGCAAAAACCCTCGACGTCTACGGACCCCTCTTATTCCACTGGAAAGCCCAAAGCACGAAGTCCAAATTAGGGCGACGATCCCTTATGGCGTCGACAGATCGCGCCGTCAAGATTGAGGCACGAAGATCCCTCGACCGCAGAAAGGACCGCCAAAGAGGGCGATTGGGCTAAGCAGCGCTGACGACGAGGGGAACGTTCTTTAGAGGACGTGACGGGTTGCGTACAAAAGTGGAAGACGTCTACAAGCATTAATTGTAAGCTCTCACACCGCCCCACAGGGGACAGAAAAGTATTACGGAGAAGCACATAGCCGTAATAGGAGACTAATTGGCTGAGTGAACAGTGCTGATTAGTGGGCTACGTCTGGGCCTACCAAGGAAGAGCACTTGAGTGCTTCCACCTATGAAGGAAACCCCCTAAGCGAAGGAAGCCCAGTATAAAAGGAGGAAGATCTCCAATAAGGAAGGGGTTCAGAAATTTCAGCAAAGAGAAAAGAGATTTAATGAGAGCAATTGCTGTAAATCGTTATCTTCTCAAAAGAAATACAAAATCACAGTGGATGTAACTCTCATTTTATAGAGTGAACCACTATAAAATTCCTTGTGTCGTTTGTCTATGCATGATTTAGTTAACACACAAACACACATATTCAACAAATCCTCATACGTTAACTACACACTAGCCGGTAATCCAAAGGGAAACCAAGAGGTAACCCGGCCGGTTTTTATTGGCGAAATTTGACCGTCAACAGTAAGTTAAGTGAATATTTTAACATTGTTATTACTTCATTGAGCTCTTTTAAAATATGCTTACAAACACGGATAAAAAAAAGGCACAATTTTGTGGTTGAGGCATAATTTAACGATAAATGCACACATTATTCCACCATAAAATTATAGAGCGAATATTCCCACCCCAAGTTTAAAAAAAAAAAGCCACAAGGAGAAACAACTAAGCAAAGGGAAACACGGGAAATTGTAACATATAATCCATTTTGTAAAATCATTCATAGTAAATCACATAATTTAAAATTTCAATACATGATGTTCTAATTCTACTCTTATACAAATTTTATGTGATAAATGTTTCATTTACCAAAAATTATTTTTTTAAACTTTATATTTTAGCCCTTAAATTCTTTAAAATTATATTTTGACCTTTCAATTTTTAAGAAAATTACATTTTGACACAAATTTTAAAAGTGTTTTTGCATATACACCCGTAGTAAATGAATGATTTACCAGTTAAATTCCCCATTTACAAGTAATTCTTGTGATCCTTTATTTACAAGGCAATAGTTAGTTTACTTGGTAAATCCTTTATTTACAAGCTAAAAAAACAAAATTTGATTTTCCTAAATAAAAGATCTGCCATTTAAGTATTGGTCAATTCTTTATTTACTAGCTAATTAGCCTCATTGTTTGTTCATGTGGAAAAAACCGTCTGAATTTTTAACTTTATTTTTAATTAACCAACATTGTAATAAATTTTAAAGTTTAAAAGAGGTGAATTGTCAAAATTAAAAGTTAAGGGATGAATTTGCCAAACTCGTAAAATTGTGGGGTTTTTGTACAAAAAAGCTTTTGAAAATTATATTTAAGCCTGCTAAATTTTTGAATAATAAATTTTTATAGTTTTGATAGTTTGGAAGGTATTCTTTTAACTCAAGTTAAGAATTTGAGTTATATATATATATATATAAGAGAAAAATATTATAATAAAAAGGTTGAGTTTAAATTTTTGAGAGAAAATACTGTTATTCAAGCTTATTGTGCTATTTACTAATACACTTGGGTTGAGAAGAGACATTTCAAGGCCCAAAAGGCTATTGATGTTATTTGGGCTTAGGCCTTTTATTCCCATTACAAATGGGCTCAGACAGGACATCTTCTTTGGCCCAATAAACACAACAGCCCATGGGCCCAAAAAAGAGAGAGAACAAAAAAGAAGAGGAGAAAAAAAGAAAGAAAAAGAACTTGTCACACAAGTCAGGCCTAAACGAAAAGAAAAGAAGAGGAAGTAAAAAACCCCACCTTCCTCGGCTTCCCACTCTTCTCTCTCGGACTCTGCATATTTCCATTTACTTGCTACGATCAATCTTTGCATTTTGATTGGAAAACAGTCATGAATATGGATCTGAAGAAGGATCTAGACGCTCCTCACTCCATGGGAACCACCATCATCGGCGTCACTTACAACGGCGGCGTCGTTCTCGGAGCCGACTCTCGCACTAGCACCGGTTCTCTCTCTTTCTCTCTCTCTCTCTCTCTCCTAATCTTATTCTCTTTTTTAATTGTTCATTCAAAATCATAAACAAAGTCAATTGCAATCATTTTCCTTTTCGCCTCTTTTCTCTTCTTATTGTTACGTGCCCTACAACAAAAAAAATCGAAATTTTATTCCAAATTTTGAGCATTTCAAATGGTAATTTTGTGACTGATTATGTGCATTTGATAGGTGTTTATGTTGCTAATCGTGCTTCGGATAAGATTACCCAGCTCACCGATAATGTCTACGTCTGTCGCTCTGGATCGGTATTAATCCTTATATCTCCTATTTTATTATGTTGCTTTTTTTTTTTATGGAATTATTCTCGTCATTTTAGAATTATAGCTCGTAGAATTTCAATTTTTCAGTCTAGATAGCAGATAGAAGAGATTCTTTGCATTTCTTTGTTAGTGAGGAAATGTGTTGTAATCGTCAATGACATGGCATGTCCATGGTGGTGTTACATTAAGGGGAAATTTTTGTAATTTATGATCATTTTCTTGCTTGATTTAGCTTTATGAGCTATTTATAATGTTATTTGTTACGTTTATGATTCTGAGGATTTGTGCATTTGCAGGCCGCTGATTCTCAGATTGTTTCGGACTATGTTCGTTATTTCCTTCACCAGCACACGTAAGTTAATTAAACTGCTGTTTGGATTTTTAGATCTTTTGTTAATACACCGGAAGCAATAGTAGTTGGTCTTGGTTGTTTATTGGGTCTAAATTCATGTTACTCACGGTTTACTAGTTTTATGCATTGATGCCCACTTTATATTTAAACCCTTGTGAACAGGATACAGCAAGGTCAGCCTGCAACCGTCAAAGTTGCCGCAAACCTCGTCAGGCTTTTGTCTTACAATAACAAGGTTTGGATTGTTACTCAAGCTCTATGCTTGTGTTAGTATACATTTTTGTTGGAGGTTTAAACAGATATAGGAGATATCAGTTTTAGCACTTCAGAATTAAGTGAGTTCAGTGTTGTTATTTCAACATTTAATTGGAAAGTTGTTCGTTTATTTGTACTTTTGGATTCTGAAACAATTTTCATTTTCATGGCAAGCGATGATAGTATTTAGGAGTTAGGATTACTGTGTACATATACTCTCTTTATGAGTAATCTCGGGTTTTGCGTTGCTTCGAGTCTGAATTTTCTTATGCTCCTTTGTGCTGTATCACGTAATTCCTGGGACCAGCATTTAGTGTTTTGGTTAAAGTAGATTTTGGAGATGAAAATTTTGAGTTGGTATAGTTTTTGTGCTCCCCGCTATATTTTTTCCCCTTGTTTTCGTGGATTGATGGGGTCTTTAGATCATGTGTGCTCAATTGTTTCATGTCTTGTTTGTGTTGAAGCATATCTAGTTCATCTATGTTTATAGTTCACCATAATTTTTTTTTTACTTGGCAGGATATTTTACAAACTGGTATGATAGTTGGTGGGTGGGACAAGTACGAAGGCGGTAAAATATATGGAATTCCACTTGGTGGAACAATTATAGAGCAGCCATTTTCTATTGGGGGTATGTTATTCTTGTCTAAACTAATTAAGCTCACCTTTCAACTTTAGATATCAAGTTGCCATTAAAATATATATGCTATATAGAATACTTCCCTCGGGCCTTTCTAGGTCAGTAACGTGTCATTGTGGACCTACCTAAACTCTATTGGTAATCTAGTGGTAATCTTGAAGTTGGATTTGACTTGTCTTGTTAATTGGTTTTGTTTGAATGAGCCTCAAATAGATGTGGAGCATTCATTCACGAGTTCATAAATAGCAGGGTTTAGTATCGTGTCCTGATAGTGGGAAGGATGGTCGACTACACTCTTGTTGATATTAACACAGTTTTGTAATGTGTATAACTGTTTCAAAGTTCAGTTGGCGAATGTGACTGAAAATGGCTCATGTTTAACGATTTTGTTACTTCAGGATCTGGCTCCAGTTATTTGTATGGTTTCTTTGACCAAGCATGGAAAGAAGGAATGACCAAGGATGAAGCTGAGGTATGTATTCCTTGTTATATGTGAATGCAAGAATCAGTAGCAGCCTTGAATGGATTGGGTTTTAGGTCTCCTATTTTTTTCATGGGAATTGTTCATATTAGAAGCCATACATGCGAGAAGAAAAAAAGGACCCAAAAAAAAAAAAAAAGTCAGTAGAGAAGAGAACTTGTTATTTCACTGTTTCCCTTTCCGCTAACAGCTCTTTGATATTCTCCTGCAGCAACTAGTTGTGAAGGCAGTTTCCCTTGCCATAGCCCGTGACGGTGCCAGTGGAGGTGTTGTTCGCACCGTTATTGTAAGATGTTCTCAATTTCATTGATTGCCACTGTGTAATTTATTGCAGATTTTCTCACACATACCAACAAATTGGCTGAAATCCTTGGTCTTTGTTGTGTGTTTGCAGATAAATTCTGAGGGAGTGACTAGAAACTTCTACCCAGGAGACAAACTTCCACTGTGGCATGAGGAGCTGGAGCCACAGAACTCGCTGCTGGACATACTCAACGCTTCCAGCCCTGAGCCGATGAACATACAATGATGATGTTCCAATCGTTTAGCTACAGTTGCTATTGTTTTCTTTCTCTGCAAAACATGTTTGGATTATGAGAACCTCTTTGCCCTGGAAAAATTCTTGTATTTGTGATTTAGATTATGCATGTTTCTTCAATTTACAGGAGTTTTTAACTTCAAAACCATACCTTTGGGCAGCGTTCCTATATGCTAGTTTTCTGCTTCTTATCGTTTGGCATACTGGAAGAGTGAGATGAAATTGGAAACGATGAATGGTAAAACCAAGAGCAAATGGATCAAAAACAAATCTTAATAAGGAGAGATATTTAGCACATTGCAACGGTTAAGAGAGAAAATTCCAAGTCTTTATGCTATGATGAAATTCAAGAAAATTTTATGGTTATTGAATAATGTAACCTTAAGGATACCAATTTCTCATTAAAAAAAACGATGAAAATAGATGCTTGTTAGTTTTTTTTTTTTTTTTTTTAATGAGAAATTAGATGCTTGTAAGTTATAAGTTATAACGTGGCCATGGATTTTGCTTTTCTGATTATTTTAAGGGCGAAAGAAAAAAATAGGTCACGACTTAAGATGAATTAAAATTAATAGATCAATAATTTACATAAGTTAATAAATAAGCTAAATTATTATTTTTATTCATAATTTATCTGGTTATGAACCATAACTAAACAAGTTATTATCCATAAATCACGATTTTTATCTATAACTTGTCTGATTATGAACCATAATTTAATAAATTTATCCATAATTTATCTAATTATGAATCATAACTTAACAAATTATGACCTATTAATTTTTATAACTAAAAATTAACTTATATACTTCCTTAAACTTTTCATATCAATCTATTTTTTACTATTTTTGTTATTTTTAACCAAGGAAACGGGTTACGGAACTAAAACGACCATGATAAGCCTATTTTATTTTTTTATAAAAAAATAATAATAGACAATGATGAGCCTATAAAATATCTTATATAATAAATAAATTCCAATCGAAAGCGCAAGCCACCTGACAAATGCAAAAATATATAGCGGAGGATTGTCCATATTTTTGGGCATAAGATTTGGTAACCAAAAGTGAAAAGCACAAGAATATATATCATCATTTTTTCTGTCGCCTGAGAAAAGCAAACGGACGGAAAAGAGGAACCAAAAACAAAAAATGAGTGGAATTGGTGTAGGTGGTTCTCAGTCTCAGAGCCTTCACAATGTATTCGTCTACGGCAGCCTCTTGGCCGACGACGTCGTTCGTGTTCTCTTGAACCGTCTTCCTCTTTCATCCTTCGCCACCCTCAACTCCTTGTCAGTCTCTCTCATCATTAATTTGATATCTCTCTCTCTCTTATCCCTGTCATTTTCTGTTGATATCCGATACTGATTCCCCTATTTAATACTAATAAATCTTCTTTTTAGTATGTTTATTTTGCTGTTTTATTTCCCTTTGTCACGTTTTTATGTGAACTAATCGATTTGATTCTCTTCTTCTTATTATTATTGGTAGTGTTTGTTGTTGTTGCTTTTTTTTGTGTGGTTAAATTGCATGCTTAATTAATTGTTGTTGAGATTGATGAAATGGGAAGTTTTTTTCATTTGCAGTCATAGGTATAGCATCAAAGGACGTGTTTATCCCGCCATATTACCTGTGGAGAATAAGAGAGTCAATGGAAGGGTATCATCCTCTTTTATTCTTATTTTTGCCTGCCCAGCAATTAAGTTGTGCTTAATTATGACTAATTCTCTTATTTTTATACGGATCAATTTGGTTTTATGATTCGTGAAATTCGAATAATCAATCGAATTTTGCTAGTTATTTTTTATTCATGTTTTTGTCTGAAGAACCTCTACTTAATAGAACAGAAGTTGCAATTTTTTTACTGTTTTGTGTAAGAGCTAAGGGGTTCTGAAGTAGAAAAATCCTTTATTTTGAATCTTGGGAAACATTTTTCACATTCTTCCAGTGTGACTTAGTGGTGATGAATGTCTCAATTCCGATGGTGATTGACGGGAGTCTTTCACTTTGAGGCATTTAAGTTGACGAGTCTTTGATTGAATTTAGTAGTCTATTTACCTCAAAACTACACAGGAAACAAAACTTTGGGAAGCAAGAGATGAACAGTAATCACAATTCCAGTTCCAGATATTTGCTAGTTGTTCTATGTGCCTAATGTTAGAAGTAGAACCAAGTTGTCCAAGTAAATTTTGTAGTTTGCAGTTTTTTGACCATTAGTTTGAGCACTTGGGAGGTAGATGAAACTTATGAACTGATGGAAACCTCTAGATTATTGAAGGACAATTTACACACTCGGGGTGATTATTCGAGAAAATCACCGTCTCTCCTCTCAATACTACACAATCCAAAAGTCCCCAATCCCTAGGCACCCCTGCTTATTTATAGACTCTACTAACAAACCACAACTCTAACTAAATTCAGTTATTACAAGAATGCCGAACTTCCTCGACAAGACTCTCAAACAACCAAGCCTACTTATTCAAGTCCATGTCAGCCTTACTAATTAACTAACGCTTCAATCTCCTACCATACACCAACAATTCCCGGTTTCCATCATGAACCTTTTTTTTTTTTTTTTAATGGTAGTAGATGGGATTCCCTGGTGTATACTTTTTGCAGATGATATAGTTTTAGTTGATGAACATCGGGAGGGCATTAACCATAAGTTAGAACTATGGAGACAGACCCTTGAAACAAAGGAATTTAAGTAGAACGAAGACTAAGTACATACATTGTACGTTTAGTAATTTGAGAGATCCAGAGTTATGGAATTTCTTTGGATGGTGTGGTGATTGGGACTTCTAGGAAATTTAGGTACCTTGGGTCCATAGTGCAGTGTGAAGGGGATATAGATGAGGATATTGGACATAGGATTAAGGCGGGTGGGTTAAGTGGAAGAATGCCATGAGAGTTTTATGTGATGATAAGATGCCTATTAAGTTGAAAGGAAAATTCTATAGGACAGTAATTCGCCCAGCTTTGTTATATCGTAGTGACTGTTGGGCCATCAAAAGACAACAAATATACAAGATGAGTGTGGCGGAGATGCGTATGTTAAGATGGATGAGTGGCCATACGAGGATGGATCGTATACGGAATGAAGTTATTCGTAGTAAAGTAGGTGTAGCACCAATAGAAGATAAGGTGCGGGAAAACCATCTGAGGTGGTACGGGCATGTACAACGTAGATCGTTAGATGCACCTGTTCGTGCTTGGGAGAGCATCCAAATACCTAGTACTAGGAGAGTGAGGGGTAGACCAAGAATTACTTAGGCCGACGTAGTTAGACACGACTTTCAAGATCTAGGGCTTCAAGAGGGTCTCGTGTTTAATAGAACAGACTAGAAACGAGAAATCCATATAGCCGACCCTAATTAATTTGGGATTAAGGCTTGTATTTGTTGTTGTTGTTGTTGGTAGTTGAGTAGTCATCCTAGAAATGAGCTCGGGGTGTTTTGAGATTTGCAATTGATTTGTGCATCACTAAACAGACAACTATAACCCTCCAAAATGTATAATGTAGATCGTGTTTGCAATGAGTGAGAAACAAGAGTGATAAGTCGCACCATTTTGTTTTCCCTAAAAATTGTACATTTGATCTTCTCATTAAAAGAGTTCCCAGGTTTTGATGGGTATCACAGACCCCGAATTATATATCCTGGATACGTTTGAGGATGTTGAGTATGAAAGGCGCACCGTCGAGGTTTCACTGAAGGTAAGTGTTGTCAAATAGCATTTTCATTCAAGCTAGTAATGTCATTTGGAAAAAAAAAAAAAAAAAAAAGAGGACATAACAACACGGAGACTCATTTATTGAAAACCGTCCTTTCAGTGAATTCATCCTTCATTTTTCTTGATTGATGGAGAACTTTGGTGTTCTCATCTTTGACATGAAGATGCTTGACTATTAAATGGGTTTAGGAATGGTAGGCTCAAAAGAAATGACTTTTATGAGCTTTATCCAAAAAAGTAAGGACAATGCATGTATGAGCTAGGAGATAAATTGTCTTAGAATGGGGTAATATCTTCCCATTTAGTTCTTTGAAAAAGTTTGTAAACAAATGTTCACGTCGAATTTTTTAAAGAGATAAATGATGAAGAGTTACAATTTCTTTGCAGGATAGTTCTGAGAATTTACTAGCTCACGCTTACGTCTGGAGCAACAAAGATGATCCCAATTTATATGGAGAATGGGATTTTGAGGTAGATTTTTCCATCCCTTCTCCATTTGGTCTGTGTTATTTTCCATCTCGGGGCTTGAAATTTTGCCATGTCTGATTTATATTACTAAATGTTAACAGTCTATAAATACTTCTATTTTCCTGAACAAGGCTGTATAGTAGATACTTTTCAGTTCTACTTGTAACACTTTTATCTAACAACTTCTCAATATATCAGGTTTTTTTTTTTTTTTTCTTTGGCCTTTTCATTTATCTTTTTATCACTGGCAAATTTCTAGGAATGGAAGCGGCTACACATGAATGATTTTGTGAAAATGACAATGGAATTTATGGAAGAGTTGGACCTGGCTGAGTCAAAGACAAGAGTAGCCACCTATGAATCCTTCTTTCAGCAGAATGGTGATAACCATCCTGCGTCGTAAGTTTATTCGATTATGTATATCATGGTCCGCCTACAGTTTACACATTATTATTTAGTATTTGTGACTCATTATCTCAATTGCGAGACTATAAGAATTAATAAGAATAAATTATACGTAGAATAAATTCTATTAAGAAAAAGAAATTATAAGTAGAATAATTAATGACAAGAATCTTCATTTTCTTTTGTTTCTTTGTAAGAGACGCGATGGCTGCTGTATGATTTTTTCCAACTCTGCAGTCTGCACTTAAAAAACTTAAAGATGTAAAAATGAAAAAGGTTTCATTATTATCCTGATTTTTCACTCCAATTTCATGTTACATTCTAATCCCTAAACTCCATCTTAAATTACAAAAGTTGTAGTTAGTTTTCAGCTTGATATTATTATTATTATTGTTATTATTATTAATAATGCTCCATATAAGAGAGAGAGAGAGAGAGAGAGAGAGAGAGAGAGAGAGAGAGAGGAGTGTTTTGGTCGGAGCTCTAACATCACTGTTGGGCAGTAGCCCCCAAGCTCCCAGCCTTGTTGTGTTTTGTTCAACGCGCTTTGTAGCAATGAGGACGAAATGGTGGTCGGATTGTTTTTGTTGTTTTCGAGGCATAGGTGTTGAATCTGCGACGAAATGGGGTGGGGGTTCTGCTCACTGCTGGCTTTTTCTTTTTTCTTTTTGGGCGGCATTCTAAGAGCGTCCTGCTCTCTTGAAGTCCATCTCAGATGGTGCGGCCCATTTGATGGTTTGAAAGTGCATAATAAGCAGTTGTATCAGGGTGCATACGTGGTGCTTTGTCCTTAATTCAGTGCACGACAAGCATTTAAAGTTCTCTCTACTGGAAGCTTTGACACCGCTATTTGTGATTGTTTTTTTTTCCTTTTTCTGTTTTGTTTGCTTAGGCTTTGTAATAACGTTAGTTTTTATCCCGATTTCTTTCTCTTTGTTTTGTATTTTTAGTTGTGTTTTCCATCCGCACAATTTGTTTTCTAGCATTTTTGGGTGGACTTAGTGCTATGAGATTTTCAACATCAATTAATCAGATATTTCTTTCAATTGTATGGACTATGTTAAATAGCCACCATGCGTGTCCTCGAATTTTAACGTACTATTGTGAAATCCAATACACACTATCCAAAGTGTTTCATTCAAGTGGAACCGGTTATTTATTGGTGTCATCTTTCCTGTTATAGGAGGCTATTAGGGTGTTTGAATTACCATTTCATGAAAAGAAAAATTGCCTATTTTCAGCGATGCTTCTACCTGTTCACACAAGTAAACACTCTACTGCACAAGAACGGAGACGACAAGTCGTTTTTATTAATAAATGCAACTTATTGGTATTCTTTTAAATTACCCTCTTGTCCCAACAATATTATACGGGAGAAAGTTTTCTCAAAAGTCAAGACTAAGAGGTCCCTCTAATCATATTTGTATAAATGCTAGTTCATTTCTTATCAAATCTCAAATTAATTTTGCCTGAGAGCTGCAACGACGTATTTTCAGATATCCAAACGTCCCAGCACCTGGTGATGAACCCTCAAAGATAAACGGCAAATAGCCCGTGGCAGCTTTGTATCTCTGCTGAACCTGAACAATCATAAAACAACATAGCTAACTCTTAGAGCGAATAAAAGCTATCAATCTCTTTTCCCCTTTTCTGGGATGGTAGAAAGATTGAAAAGAACAGAAGAAATATTCTAATATATGGCTAATACGATGAGATAAACCACTGTAAATATAATTAGATAAACAGACCATTTGTATTGATAAAAATTACCTCAAGAATTTGTTGGCTGGTTTGTAATGAATTCCTGCCAATTACACAAACTGTTCCACCTGAACCTCCGCCTGTTATCTTGGCTCCAAATAATGTCCCATCATCAGATTTAGATAATTTACTGTGCTGAATTTCCTGTACCAATTGTATAAGCCTATCCGTTCCATCAGATCCCAGTCCACAAGCACTGTAGCTATAGTGGCACTGCCAAAACAAAAACAAGAGATCTATTTTATTTTTCCCTGAACAAGAGGGGAAAAAAAAAGAAAAAGAAAAAGATAAAAGAGGCCAGCAACCAGGTTCACTGCCGACCAAACCTGACTCAAACCAAGTAGTATTAGTCAAATGAGTTCAAGTAGATTCAAGCTCGTTTAAACTTTTTTTTTCCCTAATAAGAAACGAATAATCAGCTACGAATAATCAAGCTACTCTTATTGACTTCTCAAGTAAGACCTTTCTATTGCTTGGGACCCAAGAAAATCACCAACTATTCTAAACCTAAGAGGATATTCAGATTTCTTGGGGGAACGAAAACGAGCACACAACTTGCCCACGCCTGCATTAATTGTCACCTAGACGAAAAAAGCAAATTGCTGCTTATCAGTTGACTGCGCGTCAACTGTAGCAGCAGAATCGAATGGAAAAGAGAACCCGTTTTACTGCATAAAATCAAAAGTAACTAAGATCAAACACTTTGTATGGAAGAAAGTTTGATGCAATATGCTGAACTAATTTAGTTCTAATCCAAAATTATGTCACTTGTAGTTTAAATTATGAGATCACACGCTCAAATACATAAGGGTACAGAACGGCTTTCACATGCACCATGATTCCCCCAACTTAACTTCTTATAACTTCTTGGTATTATTTTCAAAGATGCCTACATAGCATGTACGTAAACGTAGAGTAGTCTAAATTCAAAAATCAAGACAATTTCCACGTACCTGATACAACAATTCTCCAAGAGCTGAAAGTTGCTCGTATGATGTTGCAGATGTTAGCAATGCTTTAAAGGCCTATAATAGAGCAATTGGGAGAGGGACACATGAAAAATTAGCTAAACATCTATAGAAGTTCATGATAATAATAAGATACGTCAAATGAACAAAAAACAATGCTTGGACATGTAGCTTAGCAATATTGCTTTTGGGCTAGGGTTTATACATGACCTCTTTTTTTTTTTTCTTGAAATAGAAATGACCTACAGATACATAAATGCAAATATTTTCCCCAACACCAGCACACAAGACTAATTATGCCGCATAGAATATCTTGAGCTACGGACTCAATCCAGATTAGGTTCTTCAGTTTAAGCTATAATATTCTTCATAACCTATATGGCTATATCCTTAATTCATAAAATAATTTATTCTAAGAAATCAAGTAGAAGAGCAAGAAACATAAATAAATCAATCAATAAAAAAAAAAAGTAACTTCAATTTCATTTCACCTCATCAAACAACTTAGCAAGATCTAGAAGTTTATACAATAATCAGTGATATAGCAAGATCAGAAATGTAACATATATATGCCACATCTGGAAAGGTGAAAATAGAAATAGGCTAATTTCATTTGACTTAGAAGCATATCAAGATCAAATCTCGTTAACATATCAATGAACCTCTATCATGTGCCCGGATTCTCAAGTAAAAGGAGTGGAAGTAGCTTAAATTGGGAACAATCAATTTGAATCGTATTAGCACACTCTTTTACCAATCACACACACCCCCGCATAAATATGCAAATATTCAAGTACAAAAAATAAAAACTAAATATAAATAAATAAATTTACATATTCTAGGAATGTGCAGTTCATTGATTGCTGCATAAGAACACTTAATTAAATTTGAACTCTAACCTTGACCCGGAAATTTTCATATATAGGATGTCTAGCAGGTGCTCTCAATACATAATTACGCTTTGGATCGATTACTGTGACTAGATCATTGTGGTCCGTATATTTCTCCTTGAATGTCTCACCAAGCATGGATTCTGGAAGCATCTTAGCATAAACAGCCTCATATCTGCATGCCATGAAAAAAGCAATAAAGGGTTATTTCATTTCCAACTCTGTGAATCAAATTAATCATACCAAAAGTGCATCATCCGATAAATAGGATGATTATAAGTAACAAAATGGCACCTTAAGATGAAAAAATATGAGGAAAAAAAAAACACCTGCAAATGATCTTACCTGTGAGGTGACAAGTTGCATAAGTAATCTAATGAGGCTTCAGCTTTCAGTAGTTCAATACCATCATCCTCGAACTCATCAAGGTTAAACCCATTTGCATCTGGCAACGATCGAGACAAGATAGAAGATGCTATTGACTTTATCATCTTTCGACCCATGAAGGCAGCTATTCTTACGGATCCATAATCAGCACCTCCAACACTGCCAAAAAAAAAAAAAAAAAGAAAGCCCTTATTAACACCCATGTATCCCGTTGTTTTCTTGAGACCTACACAGGATCTCAAGGTAGTAAAGACTTCCATGAAAATAAAGCAAAACCATAGATGTCACTTGACATTAAGGGGGAAAAACGGTTGGCTAACATATGATGAGGACAATAAAACAAGAATACTTTCCCTTCTACCTGTGTCTTATCCCTGAATCAATTCCCCAAAATCTTATGTGGCCAGGAATTTCTACAAGCCCAATCACCTCAGCAGGCTGCAAAATGGGTAAATTACACATCAAAATGTAACTTATCTCTTGACCAGGAAAACAAAGCATGAAGGTTCTTTTGTTGCTTGTCTACCTGACAAACCATTGCAAGAAGTTTGTTGGCTTCACCACAGGCTGAAGTCATCTGGTCCATAACACCGCAGGGAGCTCCAACAATATGATTCTCCACCTAATGACCAATTTGGAATAGTATTTTACAAGTCTTACAAGGGACATCAAATAAAATCTCAAGAATTTGGGAAAGATAGTTCGTCAAAATACTGTTCTAAACATCAAACCTTTTGGCAAAGTAAAGCAAGATCTCTTGGACTAATGGTTAATCCTGCAAGGTACAGAAGAAGGTTTAAATCATCTTTTCTATGCAACATGGGTGATGCAAACTAGGGCCGGCAATATGGGTCACGACACGACTCGAAAACGACACGAATTTTGCGGGTTAGGGTTGAGAAAAAAGAGGTTCGGGTCAGAATTGGGTCGACCTAAACTTGACACAAAAAATACGGGTCAATTTCGGGTTGGCCCCGCCTAACCCGAACACGACACGAAACTCGTAAAAAACTAAAAAATACATATATTTTTCATTTCATATTTTAAATTTTATTATGAACTTGTGATATCATGATAGTTATACTCAAAATCTTATACTATTATTTGCTTAAGTTCAATGGATGTTGTTGTAATTTAGTGTGTTATGAATTTTAAGTTATTTCTAATATGTAAAAAACTAAATAAAAGTATACAATTTTCGTGTCAATTTCGGGTTCACGGGTCAATTTCGTGTCACGGGTCATTTTCGGGTCGTGTCGTGTCAGCTCGTAAAGTGGTCGTGTCGTGTTCGTATTGCGGTTTTTAAAAAATTTCGTGTCACGGGTCGTGTTCGGGTTGACTGCAAATTTTAAAAAAACGATCAAAACACGACACGAACACGACATGTGACACGAATTGCCATCCCTAATGCAAACAATGAGTAGGCAATAGCAAAATGCAATAAATCTAGCAGCAGTGCAACACTTTAACAACAGATATCCTGTTCATAGGACAAATTGTTTAGTTAGCAAGTTAAGGAACTACTGCTCTTGATTTTAAAATTTAGGGACTAAAACGAGACTTTTCTATAGTTTAGGGATTAAAACAAGAGTTTTCCCGCAGTTAAGACTGGAAAAGCGAGTATCTCACTGTTTTAGGCAGAATATGTCCATGAACACACTTAATTATAAAAGAAAAATAGGTTCTACTCTTCATCCATATTTAATATCTGGCAGCCCTATAATATCAGTTGTTTCCCGCCAGGCAAGGGATGTTGAGTATTTAAGTCTACTTAAAAGACTGATATTAAGTTGAAGTAGAACCCATCAAAGACTGATACTCATTTTTCTATGAAACAGGTATGACCTCAAGAATATCTTGGATGTGGGCCATGTGGCTAACAACTAACAAGTAATTTGGATACGAACAAATTCTAGAATTGGAAATAGAACAAAAAGCTTACCGTGAGCGGCAGCAATAGCAGACATGGTAGCAACCTCCACAGCGGCAGAAGACGATACACCTTTACCTTCTGGGACTGTAGAAGAAACCTGTATGTAATATTCGGACATTAAAAAATGGCTTGTAAGTGCACCCCTCAACTATTTAAATGATCAGCAGCGTAAAGCACTGGTTCCTAAAGAACAACAACCTTATAAAAAAGAAAACTTTCATTAGCAAGGCAGTGAGAAAATCTGATCATGTTTAACTTTTTTTTTTTTCCACTGTGTGCATAAATATAAGTAGGGAGAATGAAGTAAATAACAGATTTATAATAAATAATTAAAGTAAATAGCATATTTTAAAACTATTTTAAGTAAATACCAATTTACTGTGTAATTGTTCTTCTTATGACTAGTAAAAAGATTTTTTTCCATGTAAATTTTCTTTTTATCACTGGTAAAAGATTTTTTTTCCACGTAAATAAAGATTTTTTTACCACGTAAGTTATTTTTTACCAGTCGTAAATGAAAAATTTACATAATTAACTGCTATTTACTTCAAATAGTTTTAAAATCTGCTATTTACTTGATTTAGTTTCATAAATCTGCTATCTATTACAAATTCTGATATAATACTAAGCCCAACTTTGTAAAGGCCCAGTGGTGCACCTTAGTTTCTTACCACTAGTCCTCATGAAAAATGTGACAAAATCTTTAAAGTTTGGTAATTGTGGATCTCGTGTTCATATTCATGACAAATTTTATCCACTTCTGATATAAAAATGACTTATCAAAAAGACCATAATTTGTCCGACCACCTTAAAAACTTAGTCTTCGGAGAGAGATATATCAACTTTTTTGTATAAGACAACAAAATACTAGTGGACAACATTATTATTGAACATTACTTATAAACCTATTAGCAGAGAACATAGAGTAAAATAGGCATTTGTAACTAGCAAGAACAAAAGTTATTTAGGTAGTAATTTAACGATGTACCTAATTTGGAAAAGGTAAGGGAAACTTACCAAAATGCTGATACTGTCCTCGAAACGAACACCTAATTCTGTCATTAAAACCAGAATTGCACCAGCAACATATGCTGCCCACCTAACAACATACAAAACCTTGTAGGATACTAAGGTGTAAAGAGTAAAGATCCAGTTATACACAATAAAGAAAGAAAACTGACATACTTTTGGGACGGATCTTGGGCAAAGTATTTCTTTGCCTTGTCATATGATATCGGCTTCTCTCCATCCATAAAATCAAATAGATTCATGTCAAAGGTTGGTCCACGATTGCTCAACTCCGAACCATATGATACCTGAAGTAACACGATAAGGCAACGATATGAAACAAAAAAAGATGAGAAATAATGAGATAAACTAATCTAAATTATACATAAAATGAGAAAGTTTCACCATATCAAAGAGGAAGAAAATTGTCCTTTTCTTGTTGTAAAAACTTGAAGAAAAATAGTAAACTCTGAGTTTCATACTTACAATTTGCAGGACGGGTGTTGATCCTTGTCCCTTGGCTTGCTGCCGGGCCTGTGCATGCTTCCAAAGTCTATGTTTACTTGGATGATTCCTCTGGATAGCAACATGGCAGGCTTCTCTGATTGGCATCTGTCACAGAGAGAACAAGTACAGATTCAGCAAAAACAGGAACCATAATACCACTAAAAACAGAGCTGAGAACATTCAAACCAAACATATCTATTTCAGGCCAGGGCATTAAATTTGTGGCACCTGCAACACAAGGCTTCCTGAATAGTCAGCAATCCCTCCCATTACGTCTAAACGTCCAGGTGCTCTTGTCACAAATATTTCTTCCTGTACTCCCACCAAATGTGTTCATAAAATAAAATCAGCATGAAACAACTTTTTTGATAAAGCAGCACGAAACAACTTAAGATATCTTATAGATACGAAAGAATCCAAATATCTGCACACATGCATAGATATGTCAAGGAATGTCCACATGCACAAGCGCACATTAACATGTTCAAGTTGTATGATACATGAAACCATATCATCAGTCATACGATTGAATTATGTAATTTTCCCAAGATTAAGTGGCATTACAGAGTCACTAACTCATCAGGTTTGTCTTGATACAGAAATGGAGATCCTATCTAATTTTCCCAAGATAAAGTAGAGTCAATAAGTTATTAACTTATCAGATTTGGTTTGATTTAGAAAAGGAAATTGTTTGCAAGTCGTATTTCAATTGTGAAATCCTTTAAAGCAATGCTGTAATGCGGATCATCAAAAGTCCAAAAAGTCACTTGTGGACCAATATGTACTGACTTGATGGAATAAAACAACCAATTAATGAGAAGAATTATCTCTCTTGAGTGCAAAGACTAAAAAGAAAAGGTCATTGAATTTTAGTTAAAGTTGTTAGAGTCTTAGACCTCCCAATTAAAAACTCCAGCAGCAGCCTTGCGCTCCCGCAACTGGCGCTTCTCCGTGCTTTTCCCCGAGTCATAGTCAACATCTAGTTCTGCTAAGCTCTTTAAAAAAGTTAATGTATCTGGAAGACCCTGAGTATCTCCATGAAGAATCTCAAAGTCTTCTGTGCACCTGGAAAGAGAAGAAGAATGATGGTAAGAAAAGCATGCTGTTCAGTCTCTTATTAAAATAAGACTACTTTAAGAAAGTAAAATCTCACAAGTCCACTAAGGAACTTCTCTCGCTCATCTGGAAAGTGGGTGATCCGCTACCAAGGCCAAGTTCACTTTCAGCATTTGCATACCAATCCGGAATGCAAATATCTCGTCCAGGGACCCGTTGTAGTTGATACCCAAGAATAATGGCATCACGCAATCTTCTAGCACCACTAAGCTACATTGTAATAAAGTGAAACTTTCAATACGGGTATTAATATTCGTGCAATTGAGATATGTTAGTTTACCAATTCATCCCAAAAGCTTAAGCTGTTAAAGAGGTGGGCCAACAATAATTTTATACTATAACACTCCCCCTCACGTGTGGGCTGGACAATGGACAATCGTCTGGGTAAATTAATTGGAAAGCCCAACACGTGAATATTTAAGCCCGAGATATATTAAAGACTCAACACATTATGACAATTTAAATGGGGATAAAGAGTGCAATTATGGGGGTTTGAACTCAGGACCTCCCGCACTAATACCATGTTAGTTTACCAATCCATCCCAAAAGCTTAAGCTGTTAGGAGGTGGACCAACAATAGTTTTATACTTTAACAAGATATATGAATTATCTTTGCATAAGCTGCTCTTTATGGAAATTGTGAGTTTGTCACCCTTTTTCTTTTTTCTCATTTTCAGTGTCCGTGCTTGCTTTTTGCACAAGGATCTGGTTTATTTGAAACAATTTGTTCCCATCAAACCTTCAGATATTTTGCTCTTGGGATTTCAGGAACTAATAGTTTCATTAAAGGAGTTGCATATAACCTGAGCATATTGGTACATACGAAGCAGACGAATGTTCCAAGGAATTTTCTCCACTAAACTTGAAAATATTAACCAAAACCATGGTTTACCTTATCTGATGCATAATTTTTCCCAAAAGCTGTCTCCTGCAGTATTTGAGCTGCCACCTGTGATTTAAGATCTTATTACACCAGCAACAGTATTGCATGAATCAACTTACAAAGCTACCAAGAAAAAAAAAAGTCGCCACAAAACTAACAAATTTTCAAACTATTGCTCCTTAAAATTAGAAATAAATACAGTAACTACATGAACAGACTTTATGCACTATTGGTGCATTATAAAAATATAGATAACGTTTTTTGTTTGCTCCTGATAACAAGTTCAGGCTTCAGTCACAGAATGGTACACATGTTAGGCCACTGACTACCACAAAATCCTACTTTGTTAGGGAGAGGGGGGGAATCAAAAACAAAATGCAACCTTGCATTGTCTCAGCCCTGCCCAATTATCAAGTACCTTAAGCACACCTTTTTACGTGCAACAGTGACAAGAAGCCAGATTTACCAAGGAAGAAAAAAACCATTTAACATTCTTATCCATTTGGAATGAAACCATTAAAGCAATTACACTCAATACACAAGTGAACACACATCCGACTTATCCACTACCCAAAAGCAGGCTTCTCAATATACAAGTTAAATTGAATATTTTGAATGCTCCCACTCGGCTATAAATCTTCTACTAGAGTTTAGTATAGAATGAGCTATGTGAAATTCCACTAATTTCCTCAAATCTCTTCCTCCCATACATATCAAAGTCAATCTATGAGGAAGGATAGCTATATATCACTAATTAGTAACCAACCTGAAATAATTTAATCCGGCATATCTTTCCGAAAGATTATATGATTCTTCCCGTAAAAATACTAACTAGAAACACTGAACTAGACATAAAACTCCCAGAAAAGAAGAGGGTACCTCACCGCCATTGATGCCTCCTTCATAGCATGGTCTTAAAGTAAGTGCACGTTCAAGATAAGGTTTCCAGTGGCCAGTAAGTAAATCTCTCCTAATCATCTCAACACCAGCTTGATAAAACTGTCCAAATGATTACTGTATATAAGATTCTTAACAAGCATGTTGAAATAAAAATGAAAGAAAGTGAGGTGAAAACCAAACAGAAGAAACCTCTTCATCAAAGATCAGATTCAAGATCAGAGGTTCAAAGAAAGAGATTGAGAAGAAGATGATGGGGATAACTAAAACTAATACACAATAATGTACCTCAAGCATATTTCTCAAGAAAGGTTCTTCATTAAAGTAGTCTCTGCGCACAAACACAAAAGGTAGCTTGAATGCCAGCGACTCGCTCACAGTGCCATATCCAATTTTGCCTACAAGGGATACATTTGAATTTGATCATAATATGGATTGACCATATAGATCTCAATCCAGCTCATGCATATAAGATTCATTCCTACCTAGCATACAGTCAGATGCTGCTATAAGGTCAGGTGTATAAGCATCTTTTGCAAGCTTTATGAAATTTGGTGGAAGTTCTTGGCTTTCAGAAGCACCGCAAACCTGATTCAAGAAAGGAATTAGTACAAAAGGGCTAAACATAAGGGTGCAGTCTTTGTCAAGAAAGATGTAAAATATATGTTGTGAAAGATACCAGGCACAGCCAACCAGAAGGTAAAAACTCCTCCTTCAGTTTCCAGCCTGCTGGCTGCAAAATAGATAAAGGAATATATATGCACAATCAAGATAAACTGTAGCAAGTAAATAGCATCAGAGCCGTTTTGCTATGAGATTTTCAGGCATACAGTGACCAGAAAACTAATTTCCTAAAAACAAAGCTAATGATTCATTACCAGAACAGGTAATTTTTTTGTTTTACTGGAAGTAAAATTTGCTATCCCAACCATCCATCCAAGAGCGTTTCTATTTATGCATTCAACCTTTTGATGCCTAACTTGATCTCTGTACTAATGAAGGGCTCCTAAAGTCCAAGGGTCGTGATTCGTGAACCAGATGATGATGAAAATTAAAGGCATACAAGGACGTGAAAACATTATGCTAACCTGTCCACCAAAGTTCAGAATAGCTAGTTTCACATCCTCCCCAATGCCAAGTTCCTTCCTGACCTGTTAGAAGAAGAGTAATAATAAATATCACAAAGTGAATTAAGCAAAAGAAGGGGTTTGCTAAATTTGTGAGTTTCAAAACCTCTTTGCGGGATTTGTGCAATCTTCTTACAACAAGTGGTACATCAATAACATCGCGAAAAGCAGGCACTACAAGGAAGTATCAATTTAAAGAGAGAGTAGTTAAAACTCCATATAACACACAATGGTAACAAAATCATCATAAAGAGAAATTAATGTTCCAGGGATGTAACAAGAAACGTACTTGGGCAGTATCCTGGAAGGCGAATCAAGAACTCGCAATGAGAATAATCTTCGGCAATCTGCATTAAGTTTCAAGAGAGAACAGCGTTAGCATTGTTGGAAAACATAAGACATAAGAAGGAAACACTCAAGAACCTTAAAGAGCGTAGCTAACATAGAGAATATAATTGCCAATTACGACGACGAACACCACTTGAAGACAAACAAAGATTCAAGATAAAGAAAACAATATTACCTGCCAAACAATTGACCGATGATGATATCCAGCAGCCATGACATACTCTGCATAGATGAAGTCCCAACTGCAAATAAATAAATAAATAAATAAAAAGTAGTACAAACAAACAATGTTTTTAGAAGATCAAAACGTGATTTCTACTATATACCTAGTGCGAAACATGAACAAGTTAACCTGCCAATATCTTTTCTTTTCTTTTCTGCTTAGTAGAGACAATATTTTCTCATACGCATAACCTGAAATCCTTTAAGGTTCGTTTTTTTCAAGATAGAGAAATGCTGTAGGCGGACTTTTGCAGTCAATGAACACTAAAGTAAAACTATCAACTGACTTCAGGAATTTCTAAACCAAACACGACTTCTTTCATCAGTCGCTCGCACCCCACAACAAAATGGAGCAAAATAAAAACTACGACTAATCTATCATGTGAACACATCCTAGAGTCAGACAATAGTGGAAGGTTCCACATTGCCAACCATATTTAGTGATTCTTAAGCTATCTTGAAGCATGTCAAAGATAATGCAACTATGCAACCAGAAATACTATAAAAGTTCGTAAGAAACTAGTTGTTTAGGGGGAACATAGAATGGGAAAAAACAAATGAAGATAGGGTACCTGAAGTTGGTGACACAAACAGACCGAATTCCAGCGTCAGCTGCTGCACGGCACGCAACTGGAACAACATCCGAGACCTATTTTTTGTATCAGCACAATCAAATTAACCAACGGCCTTCATTTAATTTGAAAGGTATTTTAGCGTGAAAACTCAAGTTCATGGTCTTCCAATTTGACTTTTGACATGCTAAAAGTTAAGCAACATGCTTCTTGTTCAATCTATATTCCACTGAATTAGGCCGTTCAAATAAGATGAAAAAAAGTAAGTAAATACCACTAGGTCAGCTTTTATAGAGTTCAGCCACTGCACTTCTGTTGCTAAAATGGAAGCCCGAGGTGCCACAGCCGTCTCTGAATACTAGATACACCCAAATATAACACAAACTGTGGATCAAAAACATACCTTTTTCTTGGTACGGAATAAAAAACATAATTATCACCATAAACAAATTTACATCATTCACACAGATGCCAAAAAAAAAAAACAAAAACAAAACAAAAAAAAAGATACCAAATTTTGTGATATCAAATATATAATTATATACGCATAAAGCAGAATTCTTTTCTACAAAATTCAAACCAAAATGTCCCAATCATTTTTTAAAAAGTAAAATAAAAAGAAAACTTCTTCATTTTTTGTTATTTAACAAACCTTCTCCAAGGAAGCAAGGCGATCCACAGTCAAAGCGTCAGCCTGAACAGCTCCGCAGTCTAACAGAACCTAGTAATCACACAATTCCATCAATAACTACATCGGAATCCATTTTGCATAAAACTCGTAGCCCGTTCTCAGTAAACAAAATTCGAGTTCAAGAGTTTGACCTTGCGAATAAAGAGGCGAGGCGATTGTATCTCAGAAGTGAAAACGAAGTCCGGAGCGCCGGTGACGACGTGAACGTCATGGCCGGCCAGGATCAGGTGCCGAACCACCTGGATCACCACCATTCGAATTTCAATACCAAAAAAAAGCACAAATTCACCGGTTCCCATTCCGAAATCTTCACCGAAACAAATCAAAATAAGAAGAAAAATAAGAAGCTTACCTCAACGACGCGAGTGGCGTGGCCAAAGCCATGGCCGGTGACGTAGTAAGCGAAAACCAGATGGTTCCTCGACGACGAAACTCCGTCGCTCTCCGCCTCTATCCTCATTCTCAGACGGTTAATCTTCACCAATGTGATCGCAAAATCTTGCCCTAGCGACGAAGAAGAAGAAGATCCTCTGAGGAAGAAGAAGAAGAAGACGACGAAGATATAATTATATAACAAAGAGATTATCGTATCGCAGGTAGAGAAAAAAGTGCGGAGTCTTTAAACTGGTGATCTGGATAAAGACGGGTACGTTGTAAAAATTTGTCTTTTTCCGTGGCATTCTTAACTCACCGGGGAACGGAAACGGGAAGTATGCGCACGTACGGTTATTCTGTTTATCTTTTATCTCCTAATTTTATATTATTCTCACTTGTGCCTCGTAATATCACCGTCATCCTTAGTTTCTAATTTTAAATCAGCCTCACTTAAGGGTTTAGTTCGCAGATTTACATCCAATTTATTTCACTAATTTAAATTTAAATTTTAAATTTTATTATATTAAAAAATTCTTAAAAATAGTTATATTTAATTTTTTTATTACAGTAAAAAACTCTTATATAAAGTCACATATCAATTCAAATTAAAAAATTGAATCAACAAATTAAACGGACTCTTAAACTATGAAAAGTTTATTTTTTATTTGAACCGTAAAATTTAAATAACGTGATATAACTAATATGAAGTAGTGTTTGAATATGCAATTTAAGTATAAAATGTGAGTGAGGAATAAAATATGAATTTTAGTATGTGTTAAAGTATACCTTTTACAGGCACATCATATATTATTCATAAATTCTATAAATTTCTAATAGAAAGACAACATAACTACACTTAATTTCTTATTTTTCAATCTATTATAAAAAAAAATTTAAATAAAAAAATTAAATGAGACTAATTTAAATTTCATGAGGTAGCGTGAATTTTTAAATTTTAAAAAGTAAAGTGAGATTTATCTTAAAGTTTGTGAGCATAAGTGAGATTAATGATCACGAAATTATATGTTAATTTTAGAATTAATGATGTATTATTATCCCAAGAATACGAAATTTATAATCTAAATTCCCTCTCAGATCTGGTTGTTGGAACTTGGTTGACTGGACAATATCATTAAAGTCATGTCAATGCCACATCAGAAAAATGATATAGTCAGCTAGTATTATCCTAAATCCTAAATTAGTGAAAAGAGAATCCTTTTATCTTTTTCTCACATTCCCAAAGATGAGGAAAAAGGAGAATATTTCTCCAACAGCGCAATCTGTCCATTATTAGCAAGTAGCAACTCAAATCTCTTTAGGCGCCAAAATGGATTGGATATTCTATATTGAGGTCTTTAGTGTTTTTTTTTTTTTTTTTTTGCTACTCATATTGAGGTCTGGACCCGTTTGGTTCGCTAATTCGAGTTGAGATGTGATGTTGTGTGAGAACTTTTTACTGTAGTAAAAAAGTTAGATGTGACTGTTTCTGAGAGCTTTTTACTGTAGCGAAACTCGAATTCTAAACTCAAATCAGCAAAAAAAACGGGATCTAATTTGCTGGTTCCTCTACCTTCTCATGTCACCGCAAAGTTAAAATGGTTTTAATATTAAAAAAAAGAGTGGGATAAAATAAAAGGGAAAAGAAAGTACGTACATAATTTGTCTTAGAAAGAAAACCATTCGAACGACTAATAAATGGCTTCTCCTAAAGTACCGTTCTTAAGGAAAAAGAAAAAGATGATCAAGTATATTCCGTTTTATTTGAGTAAAAAGAAAAAGTATATTCGATATTATAATATTTATTATCAGTCGAAAAGTCTTAGTCTGATATTTTTTTAAAGTAAATTTGATAATTTTATTAAAAGACTACTAAAGAGTTAAAATATATAATTCTACTAAAGTCATAAAAATAGGTGTCATTCATAAGATTAGACATTAAAAACGCACTCTTAATTTAATAATAGAGAGGATTCATCCTAAAAATGACTCTATAACATTTGGCCGTGAAGAATCGACTCAAAATGAGCTAAATTTTAATCTTATAATGGACCATACACATATACCTCATACAAGTAGTGGTGGGGAATCTAACCACTAACTGAGGGAGACAAAACCATAAATTGAGATAGGTGGAGAAACCACCTTCTAGACACAAGAATAATGATATTAGTTATTTACCTTTTATTTTTAGAAAAAAAGAGGATCATTTACCTCTTTAATTAAAAAATCAATTTTAAGTATAAAATAAAATATGTTTTATATTACATAAATCTATTAACGAATGGTTACTCATTTTCTTTAAAAAAAAAAGTATTTATAATGAAATACATTAGTAGCTAGGCTGGTTCGAGTTCGCATACTTGAGGTTGTTTTTTGAGATTTTTAATTTTAGGTACTAGGTGTTTGTTTGCGTGTTTAATTTTTAGTTGTTAATAAAGAAGCATTGTTTATCAAAATATTCGGAATAAAGGATTTATCTGGTTAACATCGGATCCATCTCAATATTCAATATTTAGAACTCGTTCACTTCATAGATTCGAGCTTTTAATTCGAACTGAGATGTGACATTTTTTGAAACTTTTTATTGTAGTAAAGAAAGATAGATGTGATATTTTATGAGAGTTTTTTACTGTAGAAACTTAAAACTGAAAACTCGAATCGGTGAAATGAACGAGGCTAGTAAGTAAGAAAAGATAAAGGCATTGTTTGGTTCGCCATTTAAATTGTGTGATTTAATTTAAATTACAATACAAACCGGTGTTTAGATACATAAATAAATTGTAATTTGAATTAAAAATAAAATTTAAATTGTGTTTAGATAAAGTGTTAAAACTGTCATTAGAGTTTTGTAACAATTCTTATAAAACCTCCTTGTAAATGTCATTAAAAAAAATGTAATATAAATGGGAATTTGTTCATCTCTTCATTATGAACATATTGAAAAAAATTATCTCATTTAGAATCGAAATGAAGAAATTATAATATTTTTAAGCTTAAAGTTAAGGAGAGTGACAAAGTCAAATTCTAATTGTTTTCAACAATAAAAACAATTCAGATTGCTTGAATTTAGAGAGAGAAGCCAATTCTAAAATCAATGATTTAAACCATTGTTTATAATTTGAATTGTCCTCATTTTCTTATCTCCCAAATATTAATTTGAATCTTAAAGATTTATCAGAACATATGTTTCATTTAGAATTAACTAATCCTTAAAAAAATCCAATCTTGTTCTATTTCAATCAAACTAAACTACACTAGACAAAACCTTGACCACAGCGAGACTCTAGACATTAGTCGCTAAACTTAGCCCCAGTTTATTGCGCTGGTTTGAATTTTATTGGTTTTAACTTTTTAATTTGAACAGAAAAATTTAAACTGTGTGGTTTAAATTATAATTTGAATTGATGTTTAGATGTGTATTTAAAGTTTTAATTTGAGCATAAAATAAAATTCAAATTTGTGTTTGGTAGGTGTGAAAAGCAAAGATAGTGGGTACTTTTTACCTTTAAAAAATGGTTTGAACCGTTGAACTTGAGGGGGAGCTAAACTCTAAGTCGGGCAAACTCTAAGTCGGGCCGTTTAACTCAGTTCAAATGGGAAATATAGTTCAAACTACATGATTACTAAATGTCAATTCAAACCGTGCTCACTGTTCAAATTGGATTTAACTGAACTAAACTAGTTAAACAAACATGAGCTTAGTTGTGAAGCAATGTGACTACAAGAATCTTCATCGTGGTCATTTCCCAATTCACATAGTACAACGATACTTAACAATTATAGGACGTGTCGTAATTCCCCGATTCGAAGTAGACAAATCCAAGAGATGACGACCGATTAATTGTGATATTACAAATTTATTTTTTTCACAAATTTTTATGCTTAGTAATTTTTACTAATTGTTTACTAATATATTCACTTTCTTAAGAGTTAATCATTTTTTTACAGTAAGTACTTTATTTACCTAATGTTTATCCATGTTTTATCTAATATTTACTGCTTTTATTTTTTCTTGAAAGGATTTAGTACTATTATTTTTAAAAATATTAATGATTTTTGTATACTTTAAAATTGAAAAAAAAAAACCCTAATAGAAGACCCTATATCCTAATCCCCAAATCTGAGGAAACCCCCCAAATTGAAAACCCAAAACATTGCGTTGGATGTTTTTTTCAAGTCCATGTTAAGTTTTAAAGTCTAATTTAAGTATAAATAACTACTTTTAATAAACTAGGCCTCATTCACTTCACCGATTCGAGTTTAGAATTTGAGTTTTACTACAGTAAAAAATTCTCATAAACAGTCACATCTAACTTTTTTGCTACAGTAAAAAGCTCTCACATAAAATCACATCTAAACTCAAATGACAAACTCAAATCAGCGAAGTGAACGGGCCATAAGAAAATGTAAAGAAGGCGTCTTTCCAAAATCCTGAATTGACCTTAGAAAATACCATTTTTTGCACATATCTCATTCAAACCTTTAGATCCCCAACTTCTAAAACTGAAAAAAGAATTTCAAATTATAAACCCTAATCTCTCGGTACGGTATATGGTAATGCTAGATGGAAAATGGTGTCAATAGAGTTTGGGTGCGACGAGGATCATTTGAATCATGTGGTGAAAAATCTAGATTATGATATATGCAAAGGATGTGGTTTTCAAGTATACATAGTCAAAAAAGAGTGAAAAAAGAGGAGATCCAAGGAGACAGAAGATAAACAGGACATAGCTTGTTTGCGCACGTAAAAGTTCACAACTTCGGTGATTGGGAAGTGGAAGAAGGACGAGGGTATTTCTAGGGCCCGTTCACTTCACTAACTCAAATTTTATGATTCGAGTTAAAAAACTAGATTCGAGTTTCAAAAAAGTTGAGTGTAATTTGAAATTTGGAGTTTAGTGTTTAGGTGTTGACTATTTAACTTTTGAAACTTGAGTTTTGTGTTCACTTGCACAAATGCCAAACTCTAATTAATTTCAACATTGGCATGCATTTCTGTTATGTAAAAAACGTGAACATGGTGCATTTCCCACATTGGCATGCATTTCTGTTCTTCATAAGAATATATATATATATATATATAAATGTATATATATAACATATATATATATAACAATCTGGGGAGGGCAATTATAAAGGCAACCAAGTAATACAGAAAAACTAATCTATCAACGCCGGTTGTTCTCATATGCAGCCCACATACTATTAGCTATTTCATCCC